ACATACGTTACTTTTCTTTTTTTTTTTTTTTTTTTTTATTTGTGTGTGTTTTCATCATTTATCATCGATCCATCGATTAGCAAACAAATTCGGATTGAAAACGTGCCACCATGGAGAGAGAGATATCGTCGTAGATATCATTCGTTGTGACTTTAAATCGTCAATCAAGATGATTTTAGTTGATGATTCAGCTAAACTTACCATTCTAGGCTCATTTACCATGTTTGACTAAACTCGTTTATCGCTCGACGATATCAATTGAATTATGCTCACCATTCGCACGCATTTCATTCCGAGTGGCACACTCCGTACGGCACGCGGCGTTGCGCGCGTGATGCGACGAAGGAGGAGGAATTTGCAGGTCGCGAACGAACAAGAACTGAGTTTAAGTTTTAAGAGTTCTATTTTTCTGGCGACAGGAAGCGTAATTATTATAAATGCATGTCAAAACGGACGATTTCTGACTCTTGGAGACCTCGGCTGCTTGGCTCCGGCTGCATCGGTTCAAAATGCGATTGTCATTTCGTTGTCGACATTAAGGCGACGAGATATCGAAGTCACTCGAAATGAAATTTATTTTCGATAAGAAACGAAAAGATGAGAAGTGGTCGTCTTTCTCGGTGTGTAAAGAGGCGAGAATGATTTTTAAGCTCTGAGCGCGTGATGAATGATGAAATGATGAATTAGATAAATTTCTCTCTTTGTTGAGGTAAAGTTGTATCCTCGATCGCTCGAGTATCCAATCGATGTTTATTCCCGATTCCGGCCATCTTACGTCCCAAGAGTCAACAAACGTCCTAAGAGTGAGTCGGGAGTTGATCTTACTCCCGTGATGAAAAGTTGTAAAAATACGAATGGATGAAGGTGATGCTACTTCGATATCTTGGATTAGTCTGATTGTTCATTGCGAGATGATACGTGGTGATCGCACCATGGTGGACCATGAGTCATATCAGGATTAAACGTTTTGAAGAGAGAGAGAGAGAGAGAGAGAGAGAGAGAAGCTGTTAGTGATGAACGATGAGTGAGATGAACAATTGTGTATATAATATACAATATGAATTTTTTGTAGGATTAGAGATTGTGTACGAAATTATTTTATAACAACATATTACTTCTAACGTTGTTAGTTATATTCCGATTAGGTTTTTTCCTGCGAAAGAAATTATTTGCAATGTTGCAAAGATACAACGAGTTTGCTCAAATGTGACTGACGCGTGAAAAAAAAAAAAAAAGAAAGAAACTGACACCGTAACGTGAATGTATCACGTGCCGCTCATGATAGCAACAGCTTCATCCACTCGTCGATCGATCGTTTCCCTTCTTTCGTGACGAGAAAATGTTGGCTGTAAATAATTTGGATGATTGGCGGAATTGGCGGAAAGCTATCCGATTGACGTTCCGATGCGATACGTGCGCAGAGACGCCTCATTCTTTACGCACGTTTCGTATTTCGTCCGATTTTTTCGGGATTTCGCTTATTTTCGTCACGAAAAGAGTGAAATGAGGAAGATATCGCGGCCTTGGCAACGAGAGCGGATCTCGAGGAAAAATGCGAGTGCAAAAGCAAATGTGATGGAAGACGGAGAGGGCGTTCGAGAAGAAAGTCGCGGCACGCAAAATGTTTCGGTGTTCTTTGCGTGCACGTGGACGAGAAATATTTTTCAGAAGGGTGATATTTTATTAGTGTGTAAAGATAAAAAAAAAAAAAAACTAGAAGATAATCGCTGCGCGTAATCGAAGCAAGAAAAAAAAAGAAGCAATACGAACACGCCCTTGAATTTTTAAATGGCTCGGGGGCCTCTCGAGGAGATGACGTTTTATTACACGATTTTAGATGTCGGGGACATGCCGAGCGACGACACGCGCGATTCGTCGCTCTTGTC